GCTCTGTTTATTAGGAAGGAACATCAGTATTTGTTTATGCAATTACCAACATATTCAATTACTAACGATAGCCGGCGTATTTGTCCGCGTTAACCGGGAAAAAATGTATCGTACGTCTCATTCCAGGTCATAAACTATATGCGTACCAAATTTGATCCAAATCTGTTCAGCAGTTTTTGCATGATTGAGTAAGAAACATAAAAATTCCCACATTTAAATATTTGTAGGATATTAACATAGATTTAAGCTATGCTAGCTTAAATCTATGTTTAGCTATGCTAGCTTATTTAAGTTAATTTTGAAAGTATTATTTAATAAGAAATCGTACTACTTAAAATACATATTAAAACTCCTCACTAAAATGAATTCCGTTTCACGAAAATGAGGTGCAACAGCGCCACAAGCGTGCTAATCCATCTTAACCTTGCCGGCCTAAACCCTATCCCCTACCTCGTGGAGCCCTGAAACTCTACACACCAGCAGAAACACAACGAGTGTGTTATTTTTCTGCGGTCTTCTGTAAGATGGTGGTTTCTTCCTCAGACGGGCGCTCCAATTTGAGCGGAAAATCCGCTGTGCTCTACCTCTCTTATAATTCTTTGCATTTAGTTCAAATAACTTTGAATTAGCAATGTTTTTCAACACCTATTAATATAATGACCCATATGTCTAACTAACTGTGTCGTCGACATTGGACAAAGAATTTGTGCATGAAACCGTGCTCTTGATTTAAATATAATTGTGAAATATTTTAATACCGAGGCGAATTTCAAATAAGTAATCTCTGACACGGTTCTTTGATTCGATATGGTACTTTTTATACTGCCATAGTTCGACGTTGATTTAACCTTTAAATGAATTTGTAATTCTTAAATAATTTTCTGATACTGACCCGCCCTCGCTTCGCTTGTCTATGGTATTTTAGTAAGACAATCTATCAACACATAGCGCAAACCACTGAACGGATTGCACTGAAATTTGGTACGCATGCAGTAATCAATTTAAATTCATTCATTCAGTTTCTGCTTTTACAAGCACATGCGAAAGTAGAAAGCCTTCGCCTACGCCTTCGGTTCGCCAATATTCGGCGGGAGGCCTAAAGACCTTGTAATCAGCAAAACGGTTCTTCTCATAGAACCGGCCAGATCAGAGAAGATGGTGATTCATTTTTATGTAATAAAGATAAAAGTATAGATGACAAGAATTAAATAAAATAGGTACTGTTATTAACAATTTAGTTAACTGCCTACCATTTGTATTAGAGCGGGTAGTTGGTTAAAGGTTGCATGTTTACTTCGTGACGATCGATCGATCGACGAACCTGTCTGCTGGGTAACTATGTAATTAAATTTTCAGTATCTTGACTTGATAGTCAATAAATATTAGTTAAGAAATAAATCCTGTTATCATTTTATTACGTACTTACGGTAAAAAAAGCTATATACGCTCAGTTATTTTATAATTTCCAAAAAATTGGTATTTAGTGAAAATATATAGTAAAAATAATATTTCTAACACACAATACCAAATAGCCTAGCCTCAAAGTAAGCATTGTTAGGCTTGTGTTATGGGATACTAGGCTAACAGATAGAATAGATATACTAATACATATGTATATGTATGTAAGAAAATTTTTATTTAGAAATACATATAAACATTCATGACTTAGGTACAAATGCTCGTATTCGTCACAGAAACATTTTCCTCTTCGGGATTCGAACCACTAAGTAGGCTACACCTGTTAGCAATTACAACATTTATTGTTATTTATGAATATATTTACAGTATTTCAAATACGCTGACAAAGTTAAAACGAAACGAAATCTGAGTATCGTAGACAATATTCGAACATTTGTGGACGGGGGCTAATCTGTGTGACAGAATAATCTGAGATGACTGCTTGAGAAAAGTGCGTAATAGTTGGAAGCGAAAATATAAGGGATAAAGTATTTCGTAAATGTGAATTGAACAGTAATATTAAAGAAAAAAAAATGAGATCCCTTGAGAGTTGTTTGATTTTTAATACACCTTAAAAAAAAAGTATTCATTTATTTAACTCTTTTTTTGGTTTCAATCATCAGGAAAAATGAACAGAATATGTTAAGACGAATCTAATGAGCCCAAACTCGATATCTTTACTAGTAGGTGGTAGCCCAGGGTGCATCAGCCACCTTCCAGTCCCATCACCAGACCAGCTCGATGGTACCATAATATTTTATTATCATCTAATCTACATATAATTGCCAAGTTTTATTATGTTAAGACGAATCTAATGAGCCCAAACTCGATATCTTTACTAGAAGGCAGTCCAAGATTCCATCAGTCCCTTCATCAGACTAGCTCGTTGGTACCATAATATTGTATTGTCACCTAATCTACATATAAATGCCAATTTTCATGATGATACAAGATTTAGAAGTGCGTATAATTCAGATTCTTTGATTTCATTACATAGTTACATACAAGTAGACCTAATAAAAGCGTGTTAGTAAAAACCGGCGTACAATACCACTTAAGTCACGGAGATCGTCAATAATCCTTGAATTAAGTTTGACTTCAGTCATGTATGCCAGTAGTTAGAGGTATTCATTGTATTAATAAATCAAAAAGGGTGACTAATATAATTAGAGTCAAAAGTGAGTAGTAACGGGTCGCCTGCGCCTGGCGCCAGCAAGCTTCGTACCGACATAAAAATAGGGTTTGGTGATAGAAGGGTGAAAATATTGGGGTTATAAGTATTATTTGATGCCGAATCATAAAAACAAATCAAATAAAAAAATAGAAAATAAAAATTGTGATGAACCACCCTTATCATTTGAGGTATGAAAAATAGATTACGTCCTATTCTCAGACCTACTGAATATAGTATTACAATACAAACATAATTTCATAAGTAAAGCCATTCCGGAGGAGATTAAAATTTGTTACAACCACTGACTCGAGAATATTATTACTTATATAAGTAAAAACACAAGAAATATGATGAAAAAAAAAATCAAGTTAAAAAAATATACTAGGGCCACGCAATATTACCGTGGCCATGCTATTGAGCTGAAATATTTACTTGCGTCTGTTTCTCTGATTGAATATATTTTGTTGGATCAATGGAGCTCGCATAGATGCTCTTCAAATTACGGTACACTACTCAAAGCTTAGATAGAGATTTCATCACAAAAAGTAATAACATTTTGTAGTCTTAAAAAGTTATATTAGTATTAGTTATTAGTAATGTTAAAAGACTGACAAAGGGCATTATAAATATTTATATTTCTTACAAAATATCCTATTAAAGCTCTTTAAACTCTCACATAAATAACTGATAATTTAATATTTAAAGGTAAATAAATTATATGGGGTTAAGAAAAAAATGCCGCGTGATGCTAAGCGGCCACCATAGCCTATAGAATTGACGCTTGGGATACCAAAGCTATCACTAGCGCCGTTACCTACCCTGACCCAATCCCTGTGAGCTCTGGAACCTTCCTCACCGACAGAAATACAACTCCATCCAAAGCTAATGTTCTTTTAATGTGGTCTTCTATAAGGTTGGTGTACTTCTCCAGTTGGTGTTGGTACTTCTCCAGACGGGGGCTCCAATTCGAACGGAAAATCCTTTCCTTCCTTTTTTTTCATTGGAATCATAGAGAGGTAAAGCATACCTCAATGAAAAAAGGACTATACTATGCTTCAGTTTGTTAGGCTTTTTCCCAAAGGAAAAGGAATTAACAACGGTTCTTATAACATTGCTCTTTGTTAATTGAATTTCGATCCGACTCTAAGCGCTATAGTTAGCTAATTAAAACTTGTTTCCATTAGTAAAATAAAACGGTCGGCGTTAAACCGATCCGCTGCATGGCCAGACTAAACGCTAGTTTCACTGAATATTTTTTATCGGAAGTATGTTTTTTTCTTTCAGTTCTACAAAGCTATTTACCTTAAGTAAATGCTAATGCAGCCGTTTTCAATGTCTCGCTGAATTCCAATAAGATGGTGCCGGGACCGGTTCTTGGCTGCCGTTCAATACATTCATTCATTCACTCATTCATGTTATTGTGAATGCGACTGAGCCGCCGCTACGTCTGGTCGGCTTTGGGGCCGACGACGGACGCAACGATTTGTATGCTGCTAATAGAGAGAAATGATTATGCTCTTTTCACTGTAACGAAACGATAGAGTTATCTTCAAAGTAGTTTTGCGTGGTTTCTTTCACCATTCTCTAACGTGGACAATGGTAGTGAACGATTGGATCGGAAGTTATTAATGACTGTACTTTTTTTGTTTGCTAATCGACTTTGAATGCTTTCTTTATATGAAGAATTTGTTATATGGAACAGGAACCATAATTGCTATATGAAAACATTAAACAGAATAATTTTCAGCATCAGCAACTTCCTAAGGTTGTGGAGATGGGTTTGCTTATGTTATGATTTTCAAGGATGTAATATACGGGGCGTACTATTTTTTGTACTATTAAACAGTCTTCTTTGCCCTTTGTTAAATTGTACTGACGAATTCAAAATACCAGGTAGAAATTCGTGTATTCGCGAGTAATGAGAAACTGCTCGAGATGTTTACGTTATGTGTTCGGTTCGTTTCATTCTCTTGCTGATCAAACGTTTAGTTTACTGTACTGAGAAATAAATGCTCGTACAATGTCGTCGAAACCGTTGTTCCAAATAGACCCAGAAAATTGTTATTAAAATTATTTTATTATTATATTAAGAGAGTTATGACCAGAATAAGTAAAAACTTCACCGAGGTAAAATTGTTCTATTCTAAACATATAATAGAATGTTGAAATGCGACAAAGCTCGGAACTACATAAAGTTATTGAAAATTGCAATTATCCTATAACGATTTGTGGACGAAATCCCCGTAAGAGCACCTACATGATTGAATGTCACCGATACAATACTTCCCCTACGAAGATGCTAAAAAGCTATACCTTCTAGTCTAGTCTTAAACAAATTTAAAAGCGAATCATGTTATTCTATCTCAAGATGTGTTTAATAAAATTGAGCCTTAATTTGAATGAAGAATGTTGGTGCAAATGTCTCAGGCATGCCAATGAAGATAATATTTCTTTCTGCCACAGAAAACAACCAAAGACTTTCGCGTTCGACCACTGCTTCTACTCGCTGGACCCGGGGCTGCCGAACTTTGCCTCTCAGAAGACTGTGTTTGAGTGTCTGGGCCGTGACATCCTCGACAATGCCTTTGACGGCTACAACGCCTGCATCTTCGCGTACGGACAGACAGGTTAGTAGCACAGATATTTATTTCATGTATACCTTGAGCCGCGAAACGTTGACGTCATACTTTTACGTGCGTGCAGCCGATGTTTTACGATTTATATGACGTTGTCACGTTAAGAAACAAGTAAAACGATAATGAAGTTTAAAGAAAATTCTCAATGAAGAAAGTCAATTCTCAAATCAAGTTTCAGCAGAAGGACTGATCGTTACGTTGGTTTCAGTTGGCTTGGCTATTCTTGTTAAAGTTACGTACCATTAATGTTCTGTAGTAGATTTATGCTCGCCCTAAGACGGGAGTAGCCACTGAAATTTTAATCTTATTTATCGCTTTCTCAACGCGAACAATATTTTCTCAGCATTATTGCCACTATATTTTGTATGATTGTATATCGTTTGTTCTGTTATTTGTTACCTTTCTGATGATAGGCGACAAGAAAATTGAAGCAGGTTACAAACAAATGAATACATGGGATAATTAACAAACGTCATCAAATAGTTGTGAAGGTAGTTTTTACTAAAATTAAGATGGTCCTTTAGATAGGTAAGTTTTTTTATTTTTAAAGTTTTCAAGGTCATGTAACTATCAGCACCAGACCCGTCTTTCCCAGTGGGCATTTTGGGCAAGTGCCCAGGGCCCCGCGATCGATAGGGGCCTCAGATCAAATACAAAGTCTCTAGTTCCTGTTAAATCATCAAACGGAAGTCATAGGGACCCCATTATCCTAATATGTCCAGGGCCTCGAATAGGTCAAAGACGGCACTGATCAGCACTGTATTCTACCGTAGTTTCAGCTTGTTGGTTGTATATACTAAATTTGGTTTTATCTTCTTACGGTCTAGTCTTTTAAGTTACGTAAGTGCTAGAGCTATTTGATTATTACACTAACAAGCAAAGGGTAATAAATAATGATAGGCGTTATTCTTTTCAATCTCATCGCCAGTGAAACAAGGGTCTTGTCCATAAAGAATTCAAGCGGGAAAGGTCACCTGGCGGTCGTTTTATTAAAAATTCCGGCACGTACAGCGACAGCGCCGTTACGGCTGAAACGTGCGCCTGCGCTTCACTCCGGATACCCCAGGGGTCCACGTTCAAATCCTAATTAATGAACGGAAACGAAAAGTGGAAACTTGATAGTTGGAAGTTTTCTTTTACAAATCTATCTATTCAAATTTAATGGTGTTTTGTTTTGCAATCACAGCCCTTCTCAACTTATAACTTTTGTATATTACAAAGTGGGTGATCGCTAGTGTGCCTTCAAAAGGCTTATATCATTGATCTTATTTTCACGGAACGATCAGAATGAAACTAAATGCTCTTAGAATGTTTATACGATCCTAAAGATGTTTAATGTAAATAGAAATTTTACCTATAATGGGAAGAGATGGCGCTGCCTTGCATCTTAAGAATGGCTAGAAGAATTTCGACGCGGTTCGTTAGGGCTGCAGTAGCATAATTGGTCAGTGCATCCGCCCGGATAGCGAAGGGTGCGGGTTCGAGTCCCGTCTGCTGCCTGGTCCGCGTGGATTTTTTCTAGTTATATTTTCTTTAGCTAACCATTGTTATTATTTCTCGATAATCGTGCTTCTTGACTTAAGTAAGGTAACTTAAATCACAGGTAGTGAAAAAGTGCTGTAAAAAAGGTTTTTACAACAATGTCGCTTTCCGAAGGTTTTCCAGCGATTAATGTTGGAATTATAGTCTTCTTAATTTCCGAAGTGAAGTTTTAACTGGAGCTGTTAATTATGTACAAGTTGGCGACCTGGCGCGTTTAATTACAGACCCGTCTTAATTATATGTGAGCTCAGAGATTTAGACCGGGGGCACACGAGAATCATTTTAATTAAAATTTTAGTCTGCAGTTAAAATATAGAAGGGTGCTAGGAAAACGATGGTAGTCCACGAATCAAGGGTTGTATGTAAGTGTAATATGTAAGTGAGCTCGCATTTACAACTATTTCTAAGTTAAAAGATGAAGGCCTAAACAACATTGCTTCTGTGATTGAATATATGGTAGAGCACCCAGAATAATAAAAATCGGTCTATTTTTTATGTTATTTAATAATATACTGGCACTAAAAATACATACAATCCTAATTTTTCACCCTTATACCGCCAACCCGTTATTTTATGACGGTACGAAGTTCGCTGGGTCAGCTAGTAATTAATAAAAAGACTATCCTTCCTCGGTTGGGAATGAAACCCGGGCTGCCCATGTAGCAAGCGAGCTTTCTGCCACTAAACCACCGATGCTTGCTAATGAGGTCTGAATTTTACAATAAAAAGTTATGTAACATACTAAAGATAAACGGATAAATAATAGCATCGTAATAAATGCTTCAGTTTAATAAAGAAATACTCAGGGAATAAGAAAATTACGAATTCAAGCTTTGGAATTTCGAATTGTGTAGTAATCTTTAGTTATTTCTAGCCCGATCAATCATTGGGACCCCGTTTATAAACAAGCATAAGTGAGAAATTAAGATAAATCGCTTGACAAGGAACTTTAACACAGACTTATGTAGCTCAAGACGTCCAGTAATTCAGTTAACGTCCAGCTATACCCGAGGGACGTTGTCGTATTTATTATTTAGGAGGGTGCAATTAGTGTGTCCCGAACTTTACAGCTTACCCCATGTTTCTTATTCCGTTCCAAGCGAATAATTCAAAGGAGCATTTATATGAGCGCCGTGCCTCAGACGACGCGATCGTAACGTTTTCTCAGAATTTCCCTCGCTCGCGAGAGTTTGCTCCAATTCCCTATATAAGTAAGTCATAAAAGGCACTTTCAATTGAGTGGATTTAAAAGTATTTATTGAACTAACACAGTATTAAAGACATTACATGTTTCATTTACAACAGTATATACTGGAGACGACAAGGATAAAGGGATTTATTATGTCAAATACTATAACCATGAAGAAGAAAGAGTATAACGGAATAAATAAAATTGTTCGGATTAATACTAGCTGCTGCTTTTCGCTTTCGTACATCGCGACAAAAATTTCATACCCACCAACTTGATGCGTGGGTATATACATATATCTATCTTGCGTTTTTGTCGAATTTTTTTACCACGTACGACGAAACTGTGGAATACATTGTTACCAATAGTGTTTACGAACCAATAACTCCTAAAAATCTTCAAAAAAAGTGCGTACTTCTTAAAGGCCGGCATCGCATTTGTGATACTCCTGGTGTTGCAGGTGTCAATGAGCGACGATGATCACTTCCCATCAGGTGAGCCGTCAGCTCGTACGCCCCCTTTAATATAAAAAAAATATATAAATTCCAATGCGAAGAAAATTTGGAAAAGGTCGAATGAATGATGATCGTTTCCTTATACCTACTGCAATTACTCAAATCCGACGAGATCGCAGGGTTTCCTTATAGTCAGTATCTATTTATAGATTAGTTGATATAATCTGAGAGGCTCGGGTCCTCAATATTATGGCTACCCTTGGACCCTAATGCTGGCGCAGCCGTGTGTTACCGCGGTATTTGGGAGACCGAAGATAAATTGTGACAAAATCGGGAACAGCCAGAGGTTCCCGTCGCCCATAAATAGATGCCTGATAGAGCGGTTTCCCGATACTGACATCGGTTGTAATTAATTGTTCCCAGAGATAGAATTTTCAGCGTTAAAATTAATTATTATTTTATGGTTAGCCGACAATGATGAGTGAACTATTGACTTAAATAAATTATGTACTGACTGCCATTGACAACATCAAACGAATGCAAATTTGTGAATGAAACGATTAAGGTGTCTCTATAACTAGTTTTCAGTTTTACCTTATACTTCAGAAGGTAGTAACGTAATTTCCTGTCAATGACATTTATCTTTAAAGCAAAGTAAAAACACCGCAATTTCTTAGCAATCAAGATTACGAAACGTCTTGAAAATAAAGCCGCTTTCCTGTTTTTGGTGAATTAGCAATTACTTTACCTAAATATAACTCTGAGCCACCATCCTATTGAGATTCCCACAGGGTTCGAACAAACGGAAGCCGTAAACAACACCTTAATTTCGCTTGAGCCAAATATTATTGAAGAATGGATCCTGTTATAAATAAATACGAAAAGACGCTGACATTTATTTGGAATGAAAAACACGCCCGTTGTTTTAGGAATAATAGAAGAGAATAACAATCTTCATAATTCAAGCCATAATAAATATTTGCTCTATCATTAATAAGAGAAATGGCAGGGCGAATTTTCCTCTTGAACTGGGGAAGCACCCGTCTGGGAAAGGAACCTCTACCTTACAGAAGACCGAGGTGAAATACGTAACCTTTTAGTAGTGTTGTATTTCTATTCGATGACGGCGACCTTTGTGGCCCAGTGATTTTTACGCCGGGTTTCATGGTGTCGCCGACTTGAGAGGTCCCGGGTTCAAATCCCGGTGGGGGCAGATGTTTTTTGTGATGAATACGAGCATTTGTACCCCAATCATGAGTGTTTAATATGTATTTCTTTAAAAATATACTTATATATGTACAATATATGTATTCTATCCGTTACCCTAGTATCCCATAACACAAACCTTACAGTGCTTACTTTGGTGCTAGGCTAATTGGTGTGAGTGTTGGAAATATTTATTTATTATTATTTATTGGTGAATAAGGATCCAGGGCTCAACAGGGTCCAAGGTATGTACGCCACATTATTCTGCCGCATCAGCTTCCACTTTTAACACTAGTTAAAATGAGCAAAATGTTACACCTTGTATAAAAAAGCTTTGCATCTGTATTGAATGAAATGTATTCCCTTCTGAATAAAGGTGTTACCAATTCTTAAGGTCTTTATTCCTATTTATTTGCCTTTTCGAATCAATTCTCAAATCTTGACGGTAGTGAATCGCTTCTATCATATATTTTTTCATATTGCCTTTTCTTATTTTATTGTGCAAATCAATATTGAAGAATTTACATTAGCAACACAAGTGTACTCGGGACAAGTACCGATACGAGATACAGTGACCCTTCAGTGTTAGTTTAGGTCCA